TCATATCTGCCTTGCTTTAGATACCATCTTTGCCTAGTATCTAAACATCCCCCTAACTATTCTCTTGACTTGAATCTTATCTACCTCAAATCCTTCGAATTTCTTATTAAAGTAGATCTATCCAGAGATATCTGACACATCAATCTCTATCTAGAACTCTTACACTGTAAAATCCAAACCCCTTGCCATGGTCCAAAAGGCCTTGTAAAATTAGGACTTGACTACGTTTCCTCTCGTGCCGCACCTTTGGCAACCGTAGACTAGCTTTGTTTTGTTTTGTTTACAAGATTTTTTAAAAATTCCTAGTTAGTTAACATACAGTATAATATCAGTTTCAGGAGTAGAATTTAGTGATTCATCACTTACAACACCCAGTGCTCATCACAACAAATGCCCTCCTCAATGCCTATCACCTATTCAGCCCCTCCCCTGCTCACCCCCCCTCCAAAATGTCTGTTCTCTATAATTAAGAATCTGTTTGTGGTTTGCCTCTTTTTCTTCGCCCCTTCCGATATTCATCTGTTTTGTTTCTTAAATTACACGTATGAGTGAAATCATATGGTATTTGTCTTTCTCTGACTTATTTCACTTAGCATAATACTCTAGCTCCAACCACATCATTGCAAATGGCAAGATTTCATTCTTTTTTATGGCTGAATAATATTCCTCTGTGTGTGTGTGTGTGTGTGTGTGTGTGTGTGTGTGTGTGTATCACCTCTTTATCCATTCATCAGTTGATGGATACTTGGGCTGCTTCCATATTTTGGCTATTGTTGATAATGCTGCTATAAATATTGGGGAGCATGTACCCCTTTGAATCAATATTTTTGTATCCGTTAGGTAAATACCTAGTACTGCAATTGGATCATATGGTAGTTTTATTTTTAACTTTTTGAGGAACTTCCATACTTTTTCCACAGTGGCTGCACCAGTTTGCATTTCCACCAGCAGTGTAAGGAGGTTCCCCTTTCTCCATATCCTCACCAACATCTGTTGTTTCCTGTGTTGTTAAATTTAGCTATACTGACAGGTGTGAGGTGGTATCTCATTGTGGTTTGGATTTGTATTTCCCTGATGATGAGTGATGTTGAGCATCTTTTTATATGTGTGTTGGCCATCTGTATGTCTTTGGAAAAATGTCTGTTCATGTCTTCTGCCCATTTCTTACCTGGATTATTAGTTTTTTGGGTGTTGAGTTTGATAAGTTCTTTAAGATTTTGAATATGTCCTTTATCAGATATGTCATTTGCAAATATCTTCTCCCATTCTGAAGGTTTCCTTTTAGTTTTGTTGATGGTTTCCTTTGCTGTACAAAACCTTTTTATTTTGATGTAGTCCCAATAGTTCATTTTTGCTTTTGTTTCCCTTGCCTCACGGGACCTATCTAGAAAAAAGTTGCTACAGCCAATGTCAAAGAAGAGAAGTTGCTGCCTGTGTTCTCTTCTAGGATTTTTGATATTTCAGGTCTCATTTAGGTCTTTCATCCATTAGGTCTTTCATCCATTTTGAATTTATTTTTGTGTAAGGTGTAAGAAATTGGTCTAGTTTCATTCTTCTGCACGTAGCTGTCCAGTTTTCCCAGCACCATTTTTTGAAGAGACTGTCTTTTTTCTGTTGGATATTCTTTCCTGCTTTGTTGAAGATAAGTTGACCGTATAGTTGTGAGTCCCTTTCTGGGTTTTCTGTTATGTTCCATTGATCTATGTGTCTGTTTTTCCACCAATACCATACTGTCTTGATCACTACCCCTTTGTAATATAACTTGAAGTCTGGAATTGTGATGTCACCAGCTTTGCCTTTCTTTTTCAAGATTGCTTTGGCTGTTTGGGGTCTTTTGTGGTTCCATACAATTTTAGGATTGATTGTTCTAGCTCTGTGAAAAATGCTGGTGGTATTTTGATAGGGATGGCATTAAATGTGTAGATTGCTTTGGGTAGTATAGACATTTTAACAGTATTTGTTCTTTCCATCCATGACCATGGAATGTTTTTCCATTTCTTTGTGTCATCTTCAATTTCTTTCATCAGTGTTTTATAGTTTCAGAGTACAGATCTTTTACCTCTGTGGTTAGGTGTATTCCTAATTATCTTATGGTTTTTGGTGTAATTGTAAATGGGATCGATTCCTTAATTTCTCCTTCTGCTGCTTCATTATTGGTGTAGAGAAATGCAACAGGTTTCTGTACATTGATTTTGTATCCTGGGACTTTACTGAATTTGTGTATCAATTACAGCAATTTTTTGGTGGAGTCTTTCAGGTTTTCTACGTAGGGTAACATGTTGTCTGCAAATGGTGAAAGTTTTACTTCTTCTTTGCCAGTGCCTTTTCTTTTTGTTGTCTGATTGCTGGGGCTAGGACTTCCAGTACTATGTTAAATAACAGTGGTGAGAGTGGACACCCCTCTCTTGTTCCTGACCTTAGAGGAAAAGCTCTGTTTTTCCCCTTTGAGGATGAAATTAGCTGTGGGTTTTTCATATATGGCCTTTATGATGTTGAGGTATGTTCCTTCTTTAGTTGTCTACATAGGTCAGACTAGTTTTAGTTGTCCACATAGGCATAGAGACAGCCCCTCAAGGCCTCTGCTTATGCTGTTATTTCTGCTTGGAATTGTCTTTTCTTCTTCCCCTTCAGGCCCCCATATCCCCATCACCAACCACTTACTCTTTTAAAACTTACTTCTGTGTATCCTCTACAAGAAATTCTCCCTGCCCTCACCCTCAATCCCAGGCTGAACTAGGTGACCTCTATTTTGCATTTACCATGTGTATTATTGTGAATTCTTTCTCACTTTCTCTTCCCCACTAGACAAGGGAAGGACTGATGTTTTAATCATTACAATTCTAGTACCTTCCAAGCACCTGGCACTGTTCATTTGCTCCATGATTGAATGTCCTGTGCCCCCTACCACCACCATGATTGAATGTCCTGTGCCCCCCCCACCATCTTTAAGTCATAGCCAAAAAGTGGTTCTCATTCAAATTTTAGAGATAAGATGAAACATCCTCATGTTTAGCATAGGGGAAAAAGTATTTCTTTGGGGTCACATATTTAATGCAAATAATATACTAGATTAAAAGATTATGAAGCAAATAATTTCATTCATTGTTTAAATTGATACATATCTTCATAAGTAATTGTGTATAATCATGATATGTACATTGTGCCATTTTAAATTATGGTACATAGTTACCTAAATTTTTTATGATTGGAGGCAATTATTTAGATTCTTCAGAGTAGAATTACAGAGTTATTAAATACTAATTTCTGTGAGTACAAATGGATATGGTTGAAACATCTGATAAATGGTTAATACCTGGTGCTAAGTGGTGCTAACATGATGCCACACATCGGGAACCAACAAGTGCCAAAGAAATATTAGTTTTGATATTTGGGGTTAGGTATGCCTTTTTTTTAACCATTAATATATAGTTGAAAATCCTGTATTAATTGCCAGCCACAGATGAGATAGGTGGTTAATTTCAGAGTTGAGTAATAGAATAGTGCATTTTTTTTAATTAATTTTCACAGTTTTTAGAGAGACAGTTGACTTTTTTTGAGAGAGAGAGAGAGCATGCGTGTGCATGCAGTGGGGGGAGGGACAGAGGAAGAGAGGGAAAGAGAATCTTAAGCAGGCTCCAAGCCTGGTGTGGAGCCCAACACCAGTACCTAAGCCCTACACGGGGCTGGATCTCATGACCCTGAGATCATGACCTGAGCCGAATTCAAGCATCAGATACTTAACTGACTGAGTCACCCAGGCACCCCTAGAGAGACAGTTGACTGTTAAGTTAAAAGAACCAGAGTTGCTAATAAACACTGCAGAAAATGGAAATGTCTTCTATTTGATGGAATTATTAGAATACAAATTATACCCTTTTACATCAGAATATGAGAGCTGGTGTTTCGTAAAGACTCTCTTAACATATTATATTTTCCACTGTAACCAGTTTGCTTTAAAAAATAGTTTGAAAGGTAAATTTTCATAACATTAAACAGGCAGGGTGGAGTTTGTGATTAGGTTTGTTACCTTAAGATGAGAATTTTGGGGCGCCTGGGTGACTCAGGTCAGCCTTGGCTCAGGTCATGATCCCAGCGTCCAGGGATCAAGCCCCACATCGGGCTCCCTGCTCAGTGGGAGGCCTGCTTCTCCCTCTCCCACTCCCCATGCTTGTGTTTCCTCTCTTGCTGTGTCTCTCTCTGTCAAATAAAAAAAAAAAAAAGATGTGCATTTTGTTTTTTAATGCTGTTTCAGTCATTTTAATAGCAGTACTTTTGTTTTTTTCAATGGCCTACTTCCCAGTTAAAAATTTTTAACAATCACATGATGAATTATGTAATAATGTGGTTTACTTTTCTTACTACAATTATTCATAAAAAGGAGTTTTATGGAAATTATAAGCTATAGAAGCAATCACTATTAACTGTGATTATAAACCAGTTGTTTTCAGAGATTTTAGTTTATGGTGAGGTGAACGTTTGTTTTTTTGAAAATTTATTGTATAAACAAATCTTATTAATAATGGTAGGCTTTAGCTTTCGTTTTAACATGACAGCCATTCTGAAGAGTTTCTATGCAAATGGGATGTTTTTATGTCCAATTTCCAAATGGCTATGTCTGGATATAATTGCACAATCAACTATTAATGTAAATTATTGTCCAATGAAATTGTTTATAAAGTGGGCAATAACCTTACAAGGGCTGAATTAAAATGAAAAAAAAAAAACCCTTAGATTCTAGAAGGAGGCCATCTCCTTTTTTTGTTTTCTATCACTATGCTTTTTTGATACCCTCTCCTCCAACCCCATTTCTTCAAGACTCTTAAAAAGTGTCCTAGAAAATAATGTTGATGCTTATAATAAATCAGAAATAGTAAGGAGACTTTGAAATAATCAAAGAACTTTCACCTCCTCCCACCTCCCTGCACCCCTGGTGCCCAAAAGACATAACTATTTTTCTTATGTTTGGCTGCTATTCAGAGTGTCTTTTCTATTTTTCACAGTGATGTTGAACCTGAATGGCTGGACAGTGTGCAGAAAAATGGAGAATTATTTTATTTGGAATTGAGTGAGGATGAAGAAGAAAGCCTCCTTCCTGAGACTCCTACAGTGAACCATGTCAGGTTCAGTGAAAATGAGATTATAATTGAAGAGGATGATTACAAAGAAGGAAAAAAGTATGAACCTAAACTCAAGCGGTTTACCAAAATTTTAAAAACTAAAAGTCTTTTACCTAAGCGCTACAATAAAAAAAATAGGAATGACAATGAGCTGGTGTCCATTCTAAAGCATCAATCCAATCAGAAAACAGGAGTTGTTGTCCAACAGCGGTACAAGGATGTGAATATTTATGTAAACCCCAAAAAGTTAACTGTGACCAAAGCCAAAGAGCAGCTCAAGCTTCTGGAAGTCCTGGTTGGGATTATCCATCAGAGCAAGTGGAGCTGGAAAAAAAGTGGAAAACAGGGCAGTGGAGAGAGACTTGTGGTCCATGGCCTGCTGCCAGGAGGCTCTGCTATGAAAAGCGGTCAGATATTAATTGGTAAGTGTTGCTGGTGAACATTGTGCTTGTTTGCAGAGTTTCATGATTAGTGATACCTTGTGAGTCGGGATCAAAACAATTATCCAAAGTCTCAACAGATTAAGGACTGCTTGATGATATTTGGGACAGTAGTGAAATTGTTAATCATGGTGTACTACAAGGCATGATGTTCTTAAAATAAGTACTTTGGTGAGTTGAATATGTGTGTGCCTTGTTTAGGCCAAGGAATAGCTTAACTAATTTTTGAGTTTTGAATTATATCATTTTATTTCATCTTGGTTATGTTTGCTGACAAGAAAAAGAAAATAAGTTAATTTTACAGTGATAATTTAGATTTGAATGACCTATATCCAATAGCATGATATAAAAATATGTAATTTATGAATAAAAATACTTTTAAATTGTATGTTTGCACTTGAGTACACTAAGTTCTTGGAGTGGTTTTAAACTATTCATTTGGCATATTTAGCAACAGTGATGTTATACATAAATTTCCTTTTAAGGGTGCTTGTCATAAAATATCTCATCAGTTTGAAGGGAAAAAAATATATCCGAAAGTTATTCTGAATATATATTAAGGTGAGCATTTTGTATTGCTGATACATTTTCAGCTGTTAGATATAATGCTTGAGTTAGAGGCAACTTCGTTACTTAGGTAAAAGCTATATTAGTCAAATGTGAGAATATATTATTAATGAAACTTAAAAGTTATTAACAAATCTAAAAGCTGACAGTCTTTAAAGTTGACTCAGACTACAAGATTTAGATACAGAAACTTTTATAGCTACCTTAGAAACATTTAGAAATACTTCTTTAAGTCTAAGTTGCATTTGTTTGTTCACTGAGTCCACAAAATTTTTGAGCATCTGCTAAGTGTCAGGAATACAAAGATTACTCTAAGGATCCACTCACTCCTCTTAAGAAGCTCCTACTCTGGTGCAAGAGGTGGGTCAGAAATAGGCAGACAGTTTCGCATAGTATGATAAGTGCCATGATAGGGTTTACAAGAACAAATCACATAGGAAGAGCATCTATGCAGTGTGTGTTCCAAATGGTTGCAACAAGATCTCCACATTCTCTTCTTAACAATGCAGTGTTGATACTCCTCCCATGGAGAGTTAAGTTTTTGTGTCCTCCCTTCCCTACCCCTGTGGGCCTGGACTACAGCTTAAGTAGTACTATGTGATTTCAGAGGTGGGATCATAAAAGGGGATGCAGCTTCTGCACCCAGTTGCCATTGTGTCAGCAAGGCCGGCCCACATGAAGAGGCCATGAGTACTATTCTGGCTGATCACCCCAGCTGAGGCCTCAGCCACCCTGCAGCATCAGCTACCACACATGAGTGAAGAAGCCTTCCAGAAAATTCCAGCCCCAACCATCATGTGGCTGCAGCCACAGGGGGAACCCCGAGTAGAAACCTCAGCTAAGCCCAGTCAACCCCAGAACCAGGAAAGATAATAAATGTTGTTTTAAACTCCGAAGTTTTGGGATCATTTGTTATGCAGCAGCGGATAGCTGGAACAGAAGCTAATACCATGCTTACATTCTCTCAGGTGCTCAACTTCCTTTTTTATAAAATGTCTTTAAGGTTTATTCTTTTCATTCTGTCAGAGGATGCCAGAATTCATGCTTATGAAATCTTGCCTGGTTGTTGCCAACCACCATAATTTTAGGATACCACATGATGGGAAACTTCTATATTTATCTGGGGCCTCTGCTCAGGACCTAATTGGACTGATTTGTAGACAAATCTCTAAAATTCTTTTTACCCAGGGGCGCCTGGGTGGCTCAGTCGTTAAGCGTCTGCCTTCGGCTCAGGTCATGGTCCCAGGGTCCTGGGATCGAGCCCCGCATCGGGCTCCCTGCTCGGCGGGAAGCCTGCTTCTCCCTCTCCCACCCTTGATGCTTGTGTTCCTTCTCTCGCTGTCTCTCTCTCTGTCAAATAAATAAATAAAATCTTTAAAAAAATAAAATAAATTTTTTTTTACCCATTTCCCTTGAAACCTAGTGGAGAGGTGGTTATGGTCAGTGAGTGTCCCATTCCATGTTTCCTTTCCCCTGATCCTCACTCCAGTCTGCTGAGCCTTCTAGGAATGCCACTTACCTCTTGACCTGATCTTTTTGTACCATCTGTATGGGAGGAAAGAGAATGAACTGTAGAGAGGAAGAGGCTGCTAGGTAGTCCTGTTGTTTATCTTTAAAATAATTTAAAGTTACACAGGATGCTGGTAGTATACTTTTTGACTTGAGTGTGGTTACGTGGGTATGTTCACTTTTTGATAATTTATTGTTGTACTATTATACTTTTATATTTTATACTATTATACACTTTTATACTATTATATACTTTTATACTATTATATATTTTATACTATTATACACTTTTCTGCATGTGTATGAATAGCAATGAAAAGGCAGAAAAATGAAGTTCATGATTTCAGTTTCATAATGGAAAAGTTTATGATTTACCAATAAGTAAAAAAAAAGATTTGTCAAAATAAAATGATTATTTCATCCTTGGTGCATAGCAAAATGCTTGGTTGATAAATAAGTCCTCAAAAACATTTATTAAATAAATGCATAAACTATGTAGAAAAATATGTGCAGGGAAAACAATTGGAAGTAAATATAAATACAGCAAAATGCTATTAGTGTTGGGTTTGTGTGGAGACATTATAGGTGGTTTGTTTTCTGTTTTTTCAGATTTTTAATTTTATGGTGATGTTGTATATTTTTAAAGTTACATACTTTGGGAAAAAATAATGGACAATTTTAATATCATAGTGACTTTGATAATCCCCCAGCACTGAATTTTCTCATTTGTTTCTTTGATGGTTTCATTTTACACTGAAGTCTGTGGTTGAACTGTGAGGTAAACCCATAGGCAGAAGGATCTTGAAAACTTTGTCCTGGTAAAGCAGTTTGCTCTGGTGACTTCTGCCATTGTCTAGCTGGAGAATGACCCTCCTTTGACTAAAGTGCATTGGCCAACACAGTGAGACTGGTGACTGTTTTAATTCTTTCCTTTCATGACAGTAGAACTCTGTTCTGATTCTTCTTTCCTGGGGTTTTGGGGGTTTTGCTGCATTTTCTAGTGCCATTTTTGCTTGTTCTTGCTGCTGACTTGCATCTTTATTTTTTATTTCTGAGTTTTTCTTAAAGACTGACCGCTGAGGGGCACCAGGGCAGCTCAGTTGGTTAAGCATCCAAATCTTGATTTCTGGCTCAGGTCATGATCCCAGGGTTGAGTTCAAGCCCCGTGTTGGGCTCCATGCCCAGCGTGGAGCCTGCTTAAGACTCTCTCCTTCTCCGTCTGCCCCTTCCCTGCTCCTCCCCACCCCCATGCGCGTGTGTGCATGTGCTCTCTCGCTCAAACAAATAAATAAATCTTAAAAAAAAAAAAAAGTTTGACAGCGCATTGCTCCTTAATTACCGGTAGCCAGCCTCTCTCCCTAGACCAAAGCATATCCTCTTTACCTGTATCCTAGAAACTGCATTATCACCTTGGTGATTTTTTTTTTCAAGATGACCCATTTTTACTCATTTTAACTAGATGTTTTTTAAGGATTGGAAAAGATAGGGCTAAAGAAATCACATTAATGTTCTAGACACACATACCCCTGTAGAATGTTTCTGCTCAACAATAAAAAAAAGTTTTTATTTTAAGTGCTTTTTGTGCAGCTTCTAATGTTCTCACCTGTGATCACTGAATAACTTTGTCTTGTATGACATACTTGTGCTATTTCTCTTTTAAATTTTTTGCAGTTTTTTTACTTTTTAAAAATCTTTTTGAGGCATAACATATATTCATAACATGGACAAATCTTAAGTGTACATTCAACAAATTTTGACATATGTTATATGCCTGTGTAACTACCAACCAGATCAAGATAAAGAACATTTCCAGTACCCAGAAGGCTCCATGGTGCCTCCTCCCAGTTAATACCCTCTCCCTTCTAAAAGTCAAGTTTTCTATTAACAGAGTTGATTTTTCCTCCTCCTCTTCTTTTTTTTTTTAATTTTACCCCTTCTTAAACTTCATTTAAAGGAAGTATAAAGGGGTGCCTGCGTGGCTCAGTCGTTAAGCATCTGCCTTTTGCTCAGGTCAGGATTCCAGCAGGAAGCCTACTTCTCCCTCTCCCACTCCCCCCTGCTTGTGCTCCCTCTCTCGCTGTGCCTCTCTCTGTCAAATGGATAAATAAAATCTTTAAAAAAAAAAAAAAAGGAAGTATAAAGTGTGTATTGTCTTGCACTTTCTTTATTTTATAATCTGTGAGAAATATCCAGGCTGTTGCTATGTAGTATTCCATTGTATATTCATTTTTCCATTTCACTGTTGATGGACATTCTGGTTGTTTCCAGTTAAAACATTTGAAGTGCTTTTTTAAAAAGATAGGTTTGGTTTTTTGTGAGTACCTAATGAATGGTTTTATTCTTTAATATTTTATATGTTGTTATTTGATACACATTTTTATTTTCACCTTTTGTAATACTTGAAACATTTCAATTTTCTTTTCCTCCCTTTATTTTTATTTTTTTTTAAAGATTTTATTTATTTGAGAGAGAGAGAATTGAGAGAGAGAGAGAGAGAGAGCACGCACATGAGAGGGGGGAGGGTCAGAGGGAGAAGCAGACTCCCTGCTGAGCAGGGAGCCCGATGCGGGACTCGATCCCGGGACTCCAGGATCATGACCTGAGCTGAAGGCAGTTGCCCAACCAACCGAGCCACCCAGGCGTCCCTCCTCCCTTTATTTTTAAAGATTTATTTATTTTATTTTTACTTATTATTATTTTTAAAGATTTTATTTGTCCATTTGTCAGAGAGAGAGCACAAGCAGGGAGAGTGGCAGGCAGAGGGAGAAGCAGGCTCCCACTGAGCAAGGAGCCAGATGTGGGGCTCAATCCCAGGACTCTGGGATCATGACCTGAGCCAAAGGCAGATGCTTAACCAACTGAGCCACCCAGGCATCCCTATTTATTTATTTTAGAGAGAGAGAGTGAGAGCAAGCTGGGAGAAGGGCAGAGAGAGAGGGACAGAGAATCTTAAGCAGACTCCGAGCTGAGCATGGAGCCCGTTGCAGGGCTTGATCTCACAACCCCAAGATCATGACCTAAGCTGAAACCAAGAGTCACACGCTTCACCGACTGAACCACCCAGGTGCCCCAATATTTCAATTTAGGTAACGAAAGTAACTCTGCTGTGTTTTTCTGTCTCTCCTCCTTCACATCATTTCTTTCCCACATTTTACCTGTGGTACTTGACCCGGTGGTAAAGGAAAGAAACAAGCAGTGACTTCATTGCAAAGATAGAATTAGAGTTTTTAGGCCTTCCTAGAGAGTTTCTGGTGCAGTTACTTCCTTCTACAGATGAGTACCAGAAGGATTACGTGATTTACCCCAGAACAGAGGGCAGTCAGTGATAAAGCTGGGACCTACAAGTCCTGATTTCTATTCACAAAACTCTTTCACTTGCTGTGGTGCTTCACTTGAATGGGTGGTGGAAGTGCCGAAGGATTTCTCTTTGAAGCCAAAAAGAAAAGGAATTATTTAATCCTTTCAAAATGTAATTTGGAAATAAGGATTAAGCTACAACAATGTACCACTTAACCCATTTAATCCATTTTGGGACACTTATCCAAAAGAAATAATCTAAAACAGATCTGTAAACCATGACCTGTATGTCAGATCAGTCCTACCACTCATTTTTGTAGTCTGAAAACTGAGAATGGTTTTTACCTTTTCAGTGATTAAAAAATAAAAATCAAAAGAACAATATTTTATTACATATGAAAGTTATGTGAAATTCACGTTAGTGTTCATAAATAAAATTGTATTGGAACCCAGCCACATTCATATGTTTATTGTCTATTGCTGCTTTCGGACTACAGTTGCAGAGTAGAGTAGTGGCTGCAACAAAAACCATATGGCCTGCAGAGCCTAAAATATTTACTTATCTGGCCCTTTACAGAAAGTTTGCTGAACCCAGATGTAAAAGAAGGAAAACTATGTGCATGAAAACATTTATTTAAGCATTTTTTAAGTAAGTATAAAAATAAAAAGCATGAAAATGTCAAACTGGGGTATGGTTATTTGAATTATGATTTAATAAATGTCTGCGTTATTTGACTATTAAAATTGTAATCTAAACACTATGTACCAAAACATAAAAATTCTTATTGAGAGGTTTAAAAGGATGAAATTCCTTTATACCTCATTTGTGTCAATGTAAGTAAAGACTAAAAATAATATGCGAAAATAATTATGGCTATAAGTGCTGGGGTCATCAGTAGTTTTTCAACATTTCTTTACTATTATTTTCTATTTTAATGAGAAATAAAAACCTTTTCTATTTTAATGAGAAATAAAAACCTTGCACCAGTTTCTTATCCCGCATCATCAGGCAATGTGATGTTTTACTTAATCAAATGTTTTGAATGATAGTTACAATATATAAGCCACCATTATTCAAGGATTTCTAGAATGATAGATTAGGAGAGACCATAATTTTCTGCTTATGCCCGCATATTATAAATGAGGGATTGATATTGATGCTCAAAAAATGTATAATAAAGTTAATTCTCTCAAGATTTAAGAATTTTTCAGTAAATGTCTTGAAAGTAAATGCATTAACTTGAATGTATAACGTGGCAATATGGTAAGTATGTTTCAAAAAAGTGAGATTTTCTTCCCCCTGAAGTCAAATTCAGCTTAATTTAAAAGACCAATTTAAACGCAGTCTGATCCCACCCCACTGGCACATACATATTTCCAGTCCTTCTGTGCGTAAAGCCCTCCTTCTAATAAGATTGATTTAGTTTTTTCTCCAGTGACCTCTTTGTACCTTGTATATCCAGGCCTGTTCTTTTTCATTCATGGTCCATGATTCTCATTTGGTGCTTAGCCAAGACTGCTTTGTATTGTTAGGCAGGTGTATTCATTTTCTATTGCTGCTGTGACAAATTACTACAAACTTAGTCGTTTAAAACAACACACATTTATCATCTTGCAGTTCTGGAAGTTAGAAGTCGAAAATGTGCCCTCTTGCACTAAAATCAAAGTATCCATAGGGCTGCATTCCTTACGGATTCTCTAGGGTAGAAATCCCGTTCCTCGGCCAGCTTTTCAGAGGCCACTTGAACTCCTTGTCTTGTGGTCCCTTCCTGCATCTTCAAAGCCAGCAGTGTAGCATTTTTCAAGTCTTTCTCTGACTCTGACCCTCCTGCCTCCTGCCTATAAATGCTCTGTGATTACATTGGGCCACTTAGATAATCTCCCCATCTCAACATCCTTAACATGCCAAGTCCCTTTTGCCATGTAAGGTAACGTTCACAGATTTCAGTGATTAGGATGTGAACAACTTTAGGGGACCATTATCTGCCTACCACAGTGGGGTTTTTTTTTTAGTAAAATAATGAGTTTTAATTTGTTTTTATAATAGTAATATTTGTTTAATGTAGACAGTTTAAAAAATAAAGCAAAAAAAGGAAAAGCCCATACACCCAAAGGCAACATTTTATAGATATACGTATATATATCTTTCCTTTTTTCTACATTTATGTGTAATAGTTTTATTTTTAAAATAATTTCTTAAACTGTATATTCATTTTGCATATAGTATAAATAGAGTAGTAAACAAACTTTGACATATATTTTCATAGCCCTTAGTGCCCTTCAGTACACATTTGATATTAAGTAGATGCTCAAGAATGCAATGATGGATTTTCTCAAATGACTAATTTTACATTGAAGAATTGATTTAAGCACTGTGATAAACTGATTTCATTTCTTATCTAACGGTTCAAACAATTTCATGCAGTTCATTTCCTTTCAGCCTTTGACAGGGCATCCTAATGACTCTGTGTGCTTGCTGAGAAAGAACTTTGTCCACTGAAGTGATAGGATGTCCAGGAAGCCTGCCGTTTCTGAGTCACAGAGTTGCTGACAAAGACTTGAGGAAAACAAATATCTGGGAGAATGAGAAGTGGATATAACACTTCTGTTATAGAAGGAGAAAATTTTCTACTAAACATTTTAAAATATTATATATACTACACTCACTCTAAAATTAATTTTCATATGTTATGATAATACATGTATGTCTCCTACTTTTAGAACCTTGTTAGACGTGTTTTCAGATGGTTACTCCCTACAACACTACTGTCCAAGGCTGTTCACTACACAACTATCCTTGAAAAAATAATCCAGAGCAACGACTTCAGTGCCTTGCCTTGAAAGATGTACAAAAACATGAGAGACTGATGGAGAATCGTCTACCAACACTATTATCCATATACATGTTTATAATTTTTTTCCCCAGAGTATGAAGCTCCATGATGGTAGAGATTTTTGTCTGTTTTGTTCAATTCTCTATCTATAGTGCCTAGAATAGTGCATGGCACACAGTAGGTGCTCAGTAAAAATGTTAGATGAATATTAATTATTTGATTGTTTCCTAATGGTATGTTTAGGAATGATGAAAAATAACCTTGGTGTGTATATATTTCTATTAATAAAACTCACTGTTATTTTGATATTACCTCTAATTATGTTACAAAAGTAAATTTCCATTTTAACACTGATCTTTATTTTATGAAAGCCACCAAATTTGATAAACATACACATTTAAAGAAAAGCCATGGAAAAGGAGCTTTTACCAAAATATTCTGTGGATTTTGTTGTTATTGGTTTTTTTTTAATTTTATTTATTTATTTTTGAGAGAGAGAAAGAACACGAGTGGGGGTGAGGGACAGAGGAAGAAGCAGACTCCCCACTGAGCAGGGAGCCCAGTGTAGGACTCCATCCCAGGACCCTGGGATCATGACCTGAGCTGAAGGCAGAGACACCCAACAACTGAGCCACAGAGGCACGCAGAACATGCTGTGGATTTTGTTATGGTTGGGCCCTTGGAAACAAAGAGCTGTGTGTAGACACAGATCAATAATAGCAGTGAATGCCACAGCATATTGAGTTATGATGTACCACATGGATTTAATTAAAATTTCAGCCAATTTTTTTTACTGTGGGTTTAAGTGATTAGATTCAATTTTGCTAAGTGCAGTACTTGGTTTATGCTACAAGTTTTGTATTTGTCCTTTGAGTTTACATAATTCTCCCAGTTGTATCCAAAATGAGAATATTCATCTCTTTATTTTTTTTTTTTTTGAGAATATTCATCTCTTTAAATATCCGTAAGTTGTAGGACCGCCTGGGTGGCTCAGTCGTTAAGCATCTGCCTTCGGCTCAGGTCATGATCTCAGGGTCCTGGGATCGAGCCCTGCATCGAGCCCCACCTTGGGCTCCCTGCTCCACGGGAGGCCTGCTTCTCCCTCTCCCACTCCCCCTGCTTGTGCTCCCTCTCTCGCTGTGTCTCTTTCTGTCAAATAGATAAATGAAATCTTTAATAAATAAATATCCATAGATTGTATTTAGTTATGGTGCAACATTGGCCTGTATTATAATATAAGAAAAGAGTGGAGTGGGAGCTTAGCTCTGGTGCTATGAGCTGTATAATAATAATGAGTTCCATAGTATTTTGAAGAGGTTGGAATAGATGCTTTTAATGTTCCAATTCTAGATCTTTTTGGTTTTTGGATATTCATACAGTGACCTTTGTTATTCTGTTTTCAGGTGATGTCCTTCTTGCTGTGAATGATGTTGATGTGACCTCTGAGAACATAGAGAGAGTTCTGTCTTGTATTCCTGGACCTATGCAGGTATGAACAGTCTTTTTTGTCTTTTATGATGAATTACAGAAAATAAAGACATCCTGTACTGTTTTCATTTTTAAGATTCTGAAAGTTATCTTGTATAAGGTGAGTTACACTTACATACTTGACTATTTAAAAAATTATAGCTCTTGTTAACATTTTTAGCTTTTGGAGATTATTCTAAAAAGAGAGAAATATCTACAACTAAAACTCCTATGTAAAGCAGGAATAATGACAATAATAAAAAAAAAAAATGTAATGACCAGCCTGCCTTTATGACTACTATATATGTTGGTGATAATCCATTTCCTAAAGAAGTCATTTTAAACAGTCATGGAATTTTCTTTTCTCTGATTTATTAAAATGACTATTCCTATAAAGTTTTTTTAATGTGGTTTTATTTATTTTAAAAACTAAATAAAATTAAATTTAAAAAAGAAATGAAAAAAAAAACTATACTATTTTCTTGATTTTTTTTTTCTGTTATCTAGTTTTAGCCTTATTCCTGAGCTTTTATTTAGCTACTTAGTGAATTATTTTTCATTCCTTGTAGGTAAAAATAAATCTCTTTCATAATAGTTATTTTGATAGTCTAAGCATTGACTTTTTGTATCATAGATGACATTTTTAGGTCATTAGATGTATTTTGAAAGTGCTGTACTTTCTGTTTATGAATGCTCTGCTCTTGTTAGTATCAGGAATTAGCTTTCTCTCTTTTGAGGAGTAAGAAGGATGATATGCTTTAGATAGGTTAGATATTCTATAAAACTATGAGAGGATGAACTACTTTCTGGATTGATCAGGATGAAGAACAGAATCCCTGATAAAACAGAATCTTCCTGCATCTGATTTGAGATTCTGAAATAGTAGGACCCATGATGAAATTCTTTATTGTCTAAGAAATAATGTCTCCCTTATGTTCACTTCTTTCTCTTAAAACACACACACACACAGCAAAGACACACATGGATGCTCTGTAAAAGTAGCTACCTTTGGAAATGCAGAATGAAAGTGCTGGAATAACTATGGCAGCCAGTGAGCAGCAGTGCCTATGAACGGATAAAGAGATGTCGATGGAGACAGATTGGTGTTTGAAATACGAACCATCAGGCAGACACCAGCCATAATGCTGAAGTAGGGTATACTGTTGTCCCCTTTGGTTGTCAGATGTGGAGAGGGCCTAGGGTGAGCCAGGGTACTAGGGCACCTGAGGGGGCTCAGACAGCAGCTACTTACCAATCAGTAATGAAGAATTGCAGTATTCTAACAACTGAAACACTGGCCGCACGTCAGCCCCGGGTCCGGGCTCCTCCTTTCTTGCCTCTGGCAGTTGCAGGTGTCTGCCAGTGTTGGCAGAGTTCAGCCACGGCTCTTCTGTCTTCCAAAAAGAGTTATGTTTACAGTGGAGTCACATTATACTTGTGTTTAATTAACATTTGCAAATTCAGCTATGCATACTTAGAAGTATAAAAAAAAAAGAGGAAGAAATAATGATTTAAATATTTTGGTCCGATTCCACCCACCGTTTACACGTCCTCGTTAAGTAGGAAGTAGGAGTCATGTATCTGCTGTTGGCCCAGTTTGCCTTTTATGGCATGAGCATCTTGCTGCATTAAGTGTGGTTCTGCATTTAAATACACACATACACACACATGCACACACACAGGCACACACATGGCTTTTACGTGCCAATATGTACATCTTGTGCCTAAATGAAGAAACAGCAGTTTGTTTTGAAAATGGAAGAAAAACTGTTTTGAGTTGTTTGAATTTATCGTATTGAGAGAGTATGTTATACTCCAGCACATTCGCCTTCCTAATGTAAGCTCAGAGTGATTTTGACAGCATATAATTTGAGAGTATAACCCCATCATAAGATGTATATTATTGAAATCTTTTTTAAATCTTTTAAAATCTTTTCTATTTAAGAAAATAAACTTTCTTCTTATTATAAAGGTAATACATGTTCATTGTAAAAATTGGAAAATATGAAGAAGTAAGGGACAAAATCTTCAAAAATCCCGTCACCTGAGGATATTCATGATTAATATTTTGGAATATTTTATTCTAGTTTAACCCCTTGAGTATAAACATGTATGCATTTGTTTGGTTTCCTGGCAGAATTGGTATTGTAGCCATGTTGTACTCAAAAGCAAGCACCAGAATTTGGCATGATGAATCTTTAATAATGATTTAGAACATCATTAAAATTCCTTTAACTAGAAGTAATGTTAATTAGTAAACCACATTTTTCTTACATCATTAGTGTTGAAAGGAGGGGGTAAAGTATAAGCTTCTAACTACCAGCCATGTAAACTAGGGGGTTCATAGCAGGCTCAGGGAGGACAGGAGTAGAATTGGGAGGGGAACTAGTGTTTGTACATATTAGGCAGTATGTTGGTGCTTTGCTAATATCATTTATTTAGTAATTTCATTTATTCCTCATAACAGTTTGTAAGATACCAATAATTGTGTTTCTATTTTGTATCTGAAGAAAAAGAATCTAAGAGAGATTTAATGATTTCTCCAAGGTTGCAGAATTAATAACTCAAAGAACTGAAACTGACTCCAGAGCATGATCCTTCCATCTCTCACACGGCCTGGGTGGGGCTTCATTCCCACCCGGCCAGAACTAACTGAGGTGGACTTGTCCCAGAAAAAGTTGTTTTACCTGATTTGTATCTATGGCAGCTGAAACAGTTATTCAAGCAGTAAGAGAAGAGGAATGCTGATTTATAAAGAATACCATAGGAGACTTTTTAACATTTAAATTTGGAACTATCTAATGGCAATATTTTAAACTTCTACTCGATGTATAAAAATGGTCTGAACGCTTTTTGTCATCTGACAGAAGATGGCCTGGGAGCTATCTACAATGTGGTAATGTGGTAGAATGAGGTCAGAGCTCCATTTTAAACCTTGCTCTGAGCAAGTTGCCAAACTGTTCTGGGTTTCAGTTTTCTCATCTATAATCAGAGAGATCTGAGCAAATATATCTGAGCCCAGTTCCAACTCTACAGTTCTGTGCTTGATTTTTAAATAAGTTCTGTTAAAAAATAGATTCAGAATACCAGAGTGAAATCCAGAGGTGAAACCTATATGCTAGATGAGGTACAAAAAGCCCAAATCATTTCTTTTAAAGCCAAGTTTTAACATTCTGCAAAAATAGTTGTCTTAGATTCTCCAAAAATGTTATCTGTTATGAAAGAAAAAAAAGGCTGGAGAATTGTTTTAGACTAAGGAACAATGAAGTCACATATAACTAAATGCAGTGGCTAATCCTTAATTGATCCTGGATTGCAGTGGGGAACAGCTGTATTGCGACAATTGGGGAAATTTGGGAAAAGACTTTGAGAACAGTATTTTATTTACTTGTTTTTTTCTCTCTTTTTTTTATTTTATTATGTTATGTTCATCACCATACATCATTAGTTTTTGATTTAGAGTTCCATGATTCATTGTTTGCATATAACACCCAGTGCTCCATTCAGTACGTGCCCTCTTTAATACCCATCACCAGGCTAACCCATCCCCCCACCCCCCTCCCCTCTATTTTTTTATTTTTTTATTTAAAGATTTTATTTATTTTTTTGATAGAGAAAGACACAGCGAGAGAGGGAACACAAGCCGGGGGAGTGGGAGAGGGAGAAACAGGCTTCCTGCTGAGCAGGGAGCCCGATGTGGGGCTCAATCCCAGGACTCTGGGATCGTGACCTGAGCCGAAGGCAGACGTTTAATGACTGAGCCACCCAGGCGCCCCGAGAACAGTATTATATTTAATATTCAAATTCCTAAGTGTGATAATTATATTTGGTTATATAGGAGAAGGCCCCTGTCCTTAGGAGATACGTGCTCAGGTATTTAGCAATAAAGCATTAAAATGTCAGCAGATAATTCTGAAGTGATTCAGCCAAATTTTTTTTTTTGAATACATAAAGTGGGGGTGAGGATGGAAGGAGAGGGGAGTAAGAGAAGAGAAGGAGAAAGCAAATGTGACAAAATGTTAATTGGTGAAACTAGGTGAGGAATAATGCATGGGTAATTATTATGTTATTGCAACTTTTCTACAGGTTTGAAATGTTTTAAAATAAGTAAGAAGTTGTGGGTTTGAGAAAAAGAGGTTTTAGGTATTTAAAATGACAAGAACAAAGGTGCAAGTACCCTTCTAATTACTGACTTTGTGACCTTTATCTACTGCTGTAGCTCTATGCATTCATTTATTCAACAAGCACATAATTTTATATATTATAGCATATACCACCCATTCCTGGCTTGATCAGGGAGCTCCAAAATTTGCAGTTGACCAGGGTTGATTGCATTAAGGACTGGGCTATAGTTCATTTTCCTGGAGCTTTGGAGGAAGCCAACTCCTTTTATAGGAGATCAGCCTGTAGAACATTAGTGCTGGACTATTGGCTTTCAAGTATGTCTTAGATCCAAGAGAGCGGGGGAAAAGTCTTTTTAAAGGAGATGATGGTTGGGTGGAATGTTTCAACTTTTATTATTTCCTTGTTACACAAAAGTGATGTATATGCCATGGAAAAATTGGGAAATAGACTGGCAAAATTTAAAAAAAAAAATTGTAAATCTACTCTATTCTCAGAACCCAGAAGTACCATCTGTGTGGATATTTTATTTTATTTTTTTTAAGATTTTATTTATTTATTTGAGAGAGAGAATGAGAGACAGAGAGCATGAGAGGGAGAAGCAGACTCCCCACTGAGCGGGGAGCCCGATGCAGGACTCGATCCCAGGACTCCAGGATCATGACCTGAGCTGAAGGCTGTCACTTAACCAACTGAGCCACCCAGGCGCCCCTGTGTGGATATTTTTTAAATGGAGGACTGGCTTGATCAGGTTTGCATTTTAGGAATATTTCACTCTGAATGGGACTAGAGGTTGGGAAACTAGGTGACTGGCTTCACAGCAGTCCAGTTGAGAGCTGATAAAAAGACCTGTGGATATGGAGGAAGGAATAGATTAGATTTAAGATAATGTAAAGGAATGAGGACAGTACTTCCTGCAGAATAAAGAGAAGTCCAAGATGCCTTCCAGGTTTCATCTTGAGTGAGATTGCCTGAAGAGAAGAGGATCAAGGAGAGAGAATTTGCTGAGTCAGATAGACTCATTTTCTTCAGAATTTTGACTGAGGAATATTCAAAGCATCTGCCTGACAAAGGAGAAAGGACCAGACAGGCAGATAGCAGTGCAGATGTTGTGATAGAGACCCCCTGAGGGCCGTGAGGCAGAGGTGAGAGACTGGTCAGCTTTTGGAGCTGCTTCAGATTCTGACAACCTCCCTGGATTCCACCTGTGAAGAGGATGGCATGGTAGCTAACAGGAAGAAAGAATTTGCTTGTTTGTTTGACAGAGGCTGAAGAGAAATTGCTTGTTAAATGGAAGGATTAAAGATAGAAGCAGAGAGAGGATAATTAAACAAGATTTTGGAAGTGATGAGTTCTGAAGAACATGTCTTTGGATCCAAGGAAAGGCACACCATCTCCTGAACTGGAAGGAAAGGATGAAAGGATGGGCAAATTGCACATACTCACATACACACACACACAAAAACATTTTTGAGAGAGACAGGCAATGAGGAATGATGAAACATGTCACAGGTTAATGCCCATGGAGGAAGAGAAACCCTTTTATAAGAAGTTTCATGTAAACTATTTTATATTGGATGGTTGTGTTTTTGTTTTTGTTTTCAGATTTTATTTATTTACTTAGAGAGCACAAGCTGGGGGAGGGGCAGAGGGAGAGGGAGAGAGAGAGGGACCCCAAGCAGACTCCACACTAAGCACGGAGCCCGATGTGGGGTCCATCCCATGACCCTGAGATCATGACCTGAGCCAAAATTAAGAGTCAGATGCTCAACTGACTAACCCACCCAAGTGCTCCCTCTAGATGTTTCTTAATAAAAGTTTTCTATAAAATATATCCTTAATATTTATGTATATCAACCCCTTTTTAAAAAATAGCACATAACTCTTAATTTAGTTATTTGTCTCATCCATTATCATTTTATCAAGGCAACCAGATATGCTGAAATTTATAGCTATTTAACATGTAAGCTTTCCAAAATGTCTTGCTAAAGGATAATTATCTTTGCATAATGGAGCTAACTTTACTTAAATCAGAAGAATGGTGGCTAAAGTAGTCCTTAAAAGAATTTTAATGGATGGTTCTGTGGTGTGTGTATTTGAGTTTTTGACATGGTGAGGGGAAAATGTCCTTACAGCACAGAAACGAAGTGCAGTTGTTTGCCAAGTATAACATTAGTTAGTTTGCAAGTAGGTCATTTTTCACTAAGCATAACAAACTAGTCTTAAATTTTAGGTCGTTTTTGCTGCCTAAAGTAAAATTAGCGAGTTTCTGAGTTTACCATCTCATTTCCTTTTGTCATTTTTGGTGAGTCACAGCCGGTCTTTTGACCTCTCTGTCCACAAGAATCTTAGCTGGAAAAGATGCCCTCCTTGTGCTGAGGCACATTTCTTTCTCCGAAGACCACCTTTCTCCTCGTTCACTGCTGGTATGCACAGCTCTCACAGACACTCCAACAGACCCAGCCTGTCTCTGTGACTTCTGCAGCCCTAGGATGCCGCTCATCTCATGCTCCCTGCAGTCAGATTTCTCCCCTCCCCTCCACTCATATATATAGCTCCTCGCCAAAGCCCAATGCTGGGAACAGTCTCAAAGCTCCCATCTAAGCTGGCATAAACTGTGGGTTCAGGATTTCCCCAAATTCTTAGATTTCTCACATTTTCAAGGAACACCACCATTCTTAGATAAAAGGGCCCTCAACCACCAAGCCATTCACTTCATGAGATCCTTGTTCAAGGATTTTTTATGTTTTTGCTTATGTTTGTATTTCTATTTATGTATACATGTTTTGAACATTGCCCACTAGAACAGATGCAACTCTCAGAACATAGTCTTTCAGGCCATCTAATGCTTACCTGTTGCTTGTTTGGGTCAAAACCTCACACCAAAATATTCTTTTTCACATCCTTCTAAGATCATTTCTAAAACAGTGTCTCCTCAGCTGTCTCTCACCTTAACTTTATATTAAGTTTCATCGGATAATGCTTGATTGTTCCCATATAGGATCTCTAGTTTTTTAAATTTTTTTTAGTTTGCCTATTCTTTCCCCCCTAAATACACTAATTTTCTACTCAGCCTTTTTTGATATAGTGTTGTAATATTAAGGGCCCATTTTTCAATAGGTTTGTAGCAAACATAAAAAATTTAGTAAAGGTTGACTTTTCCATTTGGAATATTACATGTTTTGTAAAGAAACATGATCATCAGTCCTCAGGAAAATTTTATGAAGAATTTCTCCCCTTCTACTTTCTATACAGATTACTGCTGATCTTGACCTGAATATATACATATTAATGAATTTAGACCTCATGTCTCTTTTCTTTTCTACTTGTTCATAAAATAAATATGAGACTTTTATTTTAGAAAGGATGTTTATTTAACCTAATTCACTTTAGGTAGACAGACAAAATGTAGTGCCCTTGAGATGCCACAGACAGCTACAGATAGGCAAAATTGATTACAACCATAAATAGTCACTCCTGGTCAACAAAAAAGGATATTTAGATATTTATCTTTTGGAAGGTTTTATTCATCAGGACAAATTTATTTTATAGTATAATACTAATAACAGTTGGATGGGCTGGTGGGATTACGAATGTTTTAAAAATAATATGCTTAATATTTTTGATGAAAAAATATAAGTATATAAAGCTCATTTTTAAAAAGAGTGACTATATGTGTTAGTATTTATCACATTTAAAGTTGGCCTTAAAAATGGTACCTCTTGGGCGCGTGAGTGGTTAAGTCGGTTAAGCGTCTGCCTTCGGCTGAGGTCATGATCCCAGGGTTCTGGGATCGAGTCCTGCATCAGGCTCCCTGCTCACCCAGGGATCCTGCTTCACCCTGTCCCTCTGCCTGCCACTTCCCCTGCTTATGTGCTCTCTCTCTGTCAAATAAATAAAATCTGTAAAAAAAAAAAACAGGCACCTCTTATAATAAATTATTAAAAATTAGGGATTATTTATTACTATCTTGGTAACTTTTTTTAAAGATTTATTTACTTATTTGAGAGAGAGAGTGAGCAGGGGGAGGGGCAGAGGGAGACAAGCAGACTCCCCACTGAGCATGGAGCCCAACATGGGGCTCGCTCCCAAGACCCTGAGATCATGACCTAAGCTGAAATCAAGAGTCGGATGCTTAACCAACTGAGCCACCCAGGTGCCCCATCTTGATGATAACTTTTAAAGATTTTCCTCCCAAATGCAACTTAATGTGTACAATTTTATCTGCTTTTAAATATTGGCTGGACCTTTCCCACCCCCCAGCTTTATTGAGGTATGATTGACAAATAAAAATTGTATATATTTAGGTTGTACCTGATTTTTTAAAGTGTACAGTGTGATGATTTAATATACATATATTGAGCAGACTTTTTTATTCTTGATCAAACATGAATTTATTTTTTTACTTAAAATTTAATCTAATTTTAAAAGAGTCATTACACTTTAATGTTTAAATATGAAACTTTATGAATTATTTCAGTTAGAATATCCTGTTTTACTCATCTGTATTCTGATAAGATTTTAAACATTAGGAATACTTTGTGCTTATATAGCTTATGATGATGTTCTTACTACACCAAATTAGCTATATCTAGTGAAAACTTCTTTTAGTCAAGATACACACTTGTGCTTCCTTAAAATGAACAAGTTATCTTTGGCCACCTGGCATCTAGACACATAACTCCTTTTTCAAGTAAAAGTAATTGAGAAGTGGAAGCTGCCTTTCAACAACTGGAAAATGGCCACATTCTGAATTCTTACCAATCTTGTCTGACATTAGGCCATGAGAATAAAATTATCTTGATAAAACTGATAGATAATCTTCTCATGCTCATAGTCCCAGATCTAGCATGTTGATAGTTTTTTCTCTCATTGGTCTTTATTTTCAAGGACCACGAAGAGTGTCTGAGAGAAAAATACTTGAATATCACCTCACTTGAAAGGAAAGCTAAACTGGTTGTATGCAGTTCCTCTTAATCCTGTATCTCTTCCTTTTCCCTTCGCCAGATGAGCTGTCAGCATTCATAATACAGTATTGCTCTTTTTGAAATTATGAGATTATATGAATTTTTGTTTTTCCATGGTATTTCTTTGTTATCAGTAACTTAGAATACAGTGATTAAGTTTAAATAATGAATTTTTGTACAGAGAATTATAAATTCTTACTCAATAAATATTTGTAATAATATGTGCCAAAAACTAGGCTAAGAGCTGGAGATAGAAATGTAAATAGAATACATAGTCCTTGACATCAAAGAGTTCATATTCTAGGACAATTTTTAGGTATACTCTGTGCATCTAAATGTCTGTGCATGTACAGACCCTTCTTTGTGAAAACTGCAGCTGACCTTTCCTTGTTGAAAAATCAACACATTGTTTTGTTAAAGGTAAAACTGACTTTTGAAAATGCATATGCTGTGAAAAAGGAAACAACTCAACCAAGACAGAAAAAGGCACAGTCAAACACAAATGATTTAGTAAAACTTCTGTGGGGAGAAGAGGTTGAAGGTATCCAGCAAAATATCCTAAACACTCCTCACATCGTTATGTATCTCACACTGCAGCTCGACTCGGAAACATCAAAGGAAGAGGTGAGTGCCCTCTCAAAAGTGCAAGGGAAAAGACTAAGGCCCTTTTATAGTCTCTCAAGTGAATAATAAGCACTTTTTTCCGTCATCCTGTGTCTTTATGGTTTTGGTATGTCTCTTACAGCAGTCTTCTGACAAGCCTAATGAGTCCATTTATACAGATTACTGAACTATTTGAATTTGTTTCTACCATCTTCTTTAAAGATTTCTATTTGAACTACTTTTTCCATAATATTTTTCTTACCTATCATTGGTTACTGTATACTCTTATTTTTTAGTGATTGCTCTTAAAATTTTATCATGATATTTGTCTTAACAGATTCTGTAATACTACCTTAACTCTTTTTTAGAATAATTCAAGGCCCTTAGTACACCTTAATTCCAATTATCCCCTCTTCACATACATGCTATTTTCCTCAGTATTTTAGTGCTATCATTTTTTAAAAAGATTTATTTATTTTAGAGAGAGAGAGTGTGTGTGCATGCACACAAGTGGGGGGGAGGGGAGAGGCAGAGGGAGAGGGAGAGAGAGAGAATCTTAAGCAGGCTGCATGCCCAGTGAGGAGCCCAAGGCAGGGCTCAATGTCACGACCTGAGATCGTGACCTGAGCTGAAATCAGGAGTCAGACACTTAACCAACCGAGCCACCCAGGCACCCTGTGCTGTTATTTTTTTAATCCCAGAAATTGGGCATAATAATGCTAGTCCTGCTACTATTAATTATTATTACATTTTATACATTATAAAACATGTAAGCAATACATTCTAAAATGCATATTTTATGCATTATAATTCATACAAATGAACCTTTAAATTTACATATATTCTTACCATTTTCTTTACTCACTATTTTTTCTTACATCTCATACTGTCCTTATTTGATCAATTTTCTTCTTCTTAAGACGTATATTTTAGGCATTTCTTTATAGTGAAAGTCTCTTGATGGTGAATTCTTTTTGTTGATATTTATCTGATGGTGTTTTTCGCACCTCTTTTTGAAAGGTGCTTTATAATTCTACATTGTATTAGTTAGAATAGGCCAATCACTGTAACAACCCTGATGTCCCGTGGCTTAACATAATAGAAGTTTATTTCTCATTTCAATATAAATGTTCCTGCTCATGTGGCTCAGTGGTTGGAGCCCTTCATCTAATGCTCGCATGATTTCCAAAGGCTTCGGAGTCCTCTGTTGGGTCGTTTGTATCTAGTTCACCAATGAGAGAAGAGAGAAAGCATCTAATATCCCATGAGGCAGTTCAGAGTCCTAACTTAAAAGATGGAACATCACTTCTGCCCATGTTCCAGTGACTGGAACTAGTTATATGGTCTCTCCCAACGCAAGGAGGTAAGAAAATGTAGTTTTCCTATGTGGTGAGGAAGAAGATGAAGTCGACATATGGTATTGCTTATGTCATTCAGGTAGAAAGTTATTTTCTCTAATCTGAAGATAGTATTCCTTTGTCTTCTGACTTCGGTAATTGCTGGTAAGTCTATTGTCAGCCATTCCTTTGTAAGGAATCTTTTATTTTCTTTGTTTAATTTCTTGCTTCTACTATGTCCAAACTATTTTTAACCTCTCTCTTGTATTTTCTATTTAAGCAATCATATTTTTATTTTCAGGAGCTCCTGAAAAGTCTTTAATCTACATTTCAAATCTGCCATAATATTCCTGGTAGTCTCTTGCTGCTTGCTTGTCTTCGTGATTCTGTACTTTATTTCTCCAAGTATTTCATACATATTCTGTGTTCTCTATTCTGTATCTGCCCATTCTACCATCTCTAAGTCCTAAGAGGACTCTGACATGTGGTGGTTTGCCTTCTTGTGTCCTTGGTGATCACCGACTAGACTTAACTGCTTGATTTTATCTCTGGGAGTCCTGTGGTTTGAAAGTGGGAATGCCTTCCTCCAGAGAGAACTTCCTTCTTTTGCTTCTGCCACTGACCTAAGGTACTCCAGGCTTTCTCAGGAGTCCGGGTTTAACACAGTGGTCCTAGGTTCAGCTTACCTTCTTAGCGATTAGCCCAATACCCAGTGTCCTGATTGACACTATGGTAGGCATCAGCCCTCAAGACAGCCCTGCCTCTGTCCTTCTGCCCACCACTCACCATTGCCAGCTGAGGCCCTGGCTTGCTTTGCAGTTCTGGGGAAGGGGGTTGAAAGGGTATGGAGAAGCTGTCCTTAGAAACCTCTCTACTTCTTACATATCCAGCAGTTCAGCAAGTTATGTTCTAGCCATAGCTCTACTTGTTTTAAACAGCATCAGGGTCTCTCGAAGTGTCCAGTTTACCACAGTGCTTCGAGCAGAAGTGCAATCTAAAAAGTTGTTACCTAATTTACATTTCTTTGCTGTTGAAATCCTTGCAGGGTATATTCTGATTGCCAGAGCCATTTTATCCAAGGGCTGCATTTCCTTGTGTTGTATCTTCATATATCAAAATTTAGTCAATAATTAAAATGGAAAAAGAAGGAATTTACTTCTAGGTATCTTTTATAATTTTCTGTGTTCCAAAAACATAAGAGACCTAAAGTTAATTATTCTGATTTCTTGCATGTATTACTAATCTTTTATACCTTAAAGCAAATGAGGAAATTAACCATTTATTATACAAAACACAGAACAAAATTCCACGATGGTAGCACCCTGAAACTTTCTAGGTCATCTTGGAGTAGAATACCGCTAAAGCCTTTTGTCATCTTTGCCTTTCTTTCCATGGGAAAGTGTGTAGATGTTTCTCAAATGAACAGGTTTCTGTCTATTGACAGCCCTATATCAACATTGTAATTAGGAGAGGCTTTTTATTCTTACTGAACAGAGTGGAAGCTGCTGCAAATGCATGCTACTAACAAGTGCCTAAAATACAGCTAATTAAATTGGTTGGGAACTATAGAGTTTGCCAGGTCCTTAATAGTGAGGCTTTCTGAGCTGGTTGCTGCAGAGATTGGAAGAGACTTTCTCAAATGACCTGTTTTGCTGGTGTAACTTCTTTTACAATAAAATGTCATAGGGTCATTTTGTTTTCATGTGAGTTACATATTTAATAAAAACTTGTCTTCTTCAAGTTATAAGAGTTAGAAATTTCAAAAACCTAATCAAAGACTATGTGGTTATTTGTTTAAAGTGGTGTTTGGTATTTGGCTAAATGCAATGTGTATTTACTAGTTAGGTTTAAATTTATTAAGTAAGCATAACAGAAGATCTTAACTGATGTTTGGCCTAATTTCTTCTTCTTTTTTTTTTTTTTGTTTGACCTAATTTCTAAAGATAAAATTTTTGTGACTGTTTTTACACTAGAAATATTGCAAGAAAATTTGAGTGTTAGGCAGAGTGTATTTGGCCAACATATTCTATAGCAATTTGCATATACTGAATGTGCTCAATAAGTATTAAAAAGTTGTGTCCAGTTTATCATTATTTATATTTGTCCTAATGTGAAAGTTGCCAAGACGTGGACACTAAGTCATATAATTATTTCTCGTAAAGAAAGACCAAAACAAGATGTAGAACACTCTTTAGAAAGAGAACCAAAGAAAAGATATATTTTAGGAGTTTGGGCTTTCAATAGTAGCTGTATTAATATTTAGAGATGTTAAATATTAAATAGCATAACTGGGAGCTACTCCTAATTCTCTATGGTTTCTATCTAGAAATTTTTATTTTGCCAGCTTTTAGTTTGCCTTGTGAGAAAAATAGCATGTTGCCTTAAGTCACAACAAAAAAAGTGAGCTACAGAATGGTTCATCCCTTTGTGTAAAACTTCTAGCACAATGCACATCCCGATTTTGAAATTTATTTTATTTTGTAAAAACTGTTTCCTGGGAACATGCTCTTCTTGAAAACAAAAAAAATATTAAGCATTTTGTGAATTATCTTATAGATCTAGTTTTTTCCCTATGATTTAAAATGTGCTTTCTTCATCTGCCTTCGGCTCAGATCATGGTCCCAGGGTCCTGGGATCGAGCCCAGCATCGGGCTCCCTGCTCGGTGGGAAGCCTGCTTCTCCCTCTCCCACTCCCTCTGCTTGTGTCCCCTCTCTTGTGGTGTCTGTCAAAGAAATAAATAAAATATTTTTAAAAAATTTAAAAAAATAAAATGTGCTTTCTTTTAAAGTTTGAATTCAGATTAATTTGTGGTGGGAAAACCCTCTTAAATTTAAGACAGATAAGATATCATAACATCATAAATACTGCATTCTATCTGCGCTACTATAATTTTATATTCTTACTTTGTAAATTTAATTACAGTATTGTCTTGGGTTAAAATAAAGATTTAATGATGATTTCACCCAAGATGATGAAGGTTATCTTTTAAATGTCAGTAATGAACGTAATTAAAGACTCTTACAAGTTACATGTGGTATCTGTGTAGATATGCCACCATAGGAGATAAGAAAACTTATATAATGAAAAATAAAAAATATCATTATTAGAATTTATTGTAAAGGAGATTAAAGTTTAAAACAGTGAAATTAATTGTAATTATTCTAACTAATCAGTGTCCTACTCAGTATATATTTTGTTATTATGACCAGTTTGACAATCTGTAACTTACTTTCAAATGTAGTGTTTTTAATACTAGGTAATGTGTTGAAATATCAGACATACTTCCCTCCTTGTGTTTGTTTGAATAAAGCTTCCTCTGAAGTTGAAAGGATTCATTTTTTGTTCTTTTCTTCATAGTAAATTCTGAACTTTCCATGACCAAAATAATGGTTGGAAAATACAAGAGGTTGATCATTTCTATTTCTTTTCATTTAACAGCAGGAAATTCTTTATCATTGTCCAGTATCTGATGCATCTCAGAAACTTAAAAGTGTGAGAGGGATATTTCTCACACTCTGTGACATGTTGGAAAATGTAACTGGGACACAAGTTACTAGGTAAGAATTTATTTTGATTTAGCTTTAATTCTGTTTCTTTCAGTTCTGTACCTTGGTTCTGACAAAATAGTAATACAAGTATCCATTATACAAATGTATTTGTATCTATAATATAGATATCTATACAGCAGATATGGTATCTACAGGTATTTTGTTTCTCACCCAAATTATTTCTACCAGTCACCTATATAAAGGTGTAGGTTCTCAGTACAGCTGTAAATCTGGGTGTTTTGGCACACTTTAAATAACAAAGTTGGACATTATAATGACCTATATTTTAGAATTTATTCATGAAGGTGGTATCTCTTAAGCATGGCATTATGTTGAGTCTGGGCTTTTTCATGTTTTTGTCTTGATTATTAACTTGCTAGGCAATACTTCTGTGGTTGGTAAGAATGACTGAACACTGAATTTTTCATGTTCTACAACTATGACAGAAAAATACAGAAAACACATACACTTTAAGAAGAGGAGTCAGAATACAGTATCATCTGTGCAAGTTCACTCAATGATGGATAAGCAAGACTTATGTGAAATAATTTTTTGAAAAACAAAATACACCATATAGTCAGTTATACAGCCACATATCCCATTCCACATTGATTTATTAAGCCCTGACTTTGAAATGCCACAGTTAACTTATGGGAGGAGAATGCTCAAAACTTGTGAGTTTTATTTTTGTTTTTTTAATAAAATAAATTTTTAAAAATAATTTTTTAATAAAATAAAAAATAAACAAGTTAATAAAAGAAAATAAATTTAATAAAATTAAATAAATGGGATTACCAACCAGTTTTCTTCCTTAATTCAATAATTTTAGACTTTACCAAAAAAAGCATTTATCTCAAATTTTTAAGAGCCCATAATACATAAAATATAAAGTTAAATTTTCTAAGGCTTTAACTTTTCCCATCTTCTGGTAAAAATGACACTTTCTGTGATTTTAAAAGATAAGATCTGCAAGATAATAGGAAGGAGAATTTCTTTGGTTTTCTAAATGAAAGTTATATTTAATCGTTGGACTCATTTTCAAGACATTAGTAACTGAGGCTACATTTAGTGTATAGATTTGCATTCAAAAAAACATGTTGAGTGAAATCATATGGTATTTGTCTTTCTCTTACTAACATTTCTTTTAGCATAATGCTCTCTAGTTCTATCCACATCATTGCAAATGGCAAGATTTTATTCTTTTTTATGGCTAATATTCCATTATATATATATACATATATTTATATTTATACACACACATCACATCTTTTCTATCCATTCATCACTGAAGGGACATTTGGGCTCTTTCCATAATTTAGCTATTGTAGATAATGCTGCTTTATAAATACCAAGGTATATGTATCCCTTTGAACTAGTGTTTTTGTATTCTTTGGGTAAATACCTAGTAGTGCCATTGCTGGATCATAGGGTAGTTCTATTTTTAACTTTTTGAGGAACCTCCATACTGTTTTCCAGAGTGGCTGCCCCGGTTTGTATTCCCACCAGCAATGCAAGAGGGTTCCCCTTTCTCCACATCCTCACCAACACCTGTTGTTTCTTGTATTGTTGATTTTAGCCATTCTGACAGGTATGAGGTGATATCTCATTGTAGTTTTGGTTTCCATTTCCCTGTTGATGACTGATGTTGAGCATCTTTTCATGTGTCTCTTGGCCATCTGGATATCTTCTTTGGAAAAACGTCTATTCATGTCTTATGCCCATTTTTTAATTGGATTATTCATTTTTGGGGCATTGAATTTTATAAGTTCCTTACAGATTTTAGATACTAACCCTTTATCAGATATGCCATTTGCAAATATCTTCTCCCATTTCATATGTTGCCTTTTAGTTTTGCTCATGGTCTCCTTTGCTGTGCAGCTTTTTATTTTGATGTAGTCCCAATAGTTTATTTTTGCTTTTGTTTCCCTTGTCTTCGGAGACATACCTGGGAGGAAGTTGCTATGGCCAATGTCAAAGAAGTTACTGCCTGTGTTCTCCTCTAGGATTTTAATGGTTTCATGTGTCATATTTAGGTCTTTAATCCAGTTTGAGCTTATTTTTGTGTACGGTATAAGAAAGTGCTCCAGTTTCATTCTTTTGCGTGTAGCTGACCAGTTTTCCCAATACCACTTGTTGAAGAGACTTTTTCCTTTTGGATATTCTTTCCTCTTTGTTGAAGATTAATTGACCGTATAGGTGTGGGTTCATTTCTGGGTTCTCTATTCTATTCCATTGATCTATATGTCTGTTTTTGTGCAAGTACCATACTGTCTTCTAGATTACAGCTGTGTAATAGAGCTTGAAGTCCAGAATTGTGATGCCTCCTGCTTTGCTTTTCCTTTTCAAGATATCTTTAGCTATTCGGGGTCTTTTGTGGTTCCATACATATTTTAGGATTGATTGTTCTAGCTCTGTGAAAAATGCTGGTGGTATTTTGATAGGGATTGCATTAAATGTGTAGATTGCTTTGGGTAATACAAACATTTTAACCATATTTGTTCTTTCCATCCATGACCATGGAATGTGTTCCCATTTCTTTGTGTCCTTCTTCATTTTCTTTCATCAGTGTTCTACAGTTTGCAGAGTATAGGTCTTTTACCTCTTTGGTTAGGTCTATTCCTAGATATCTTATGGTTTTTGGTATAATTGTAAATGGGATCGATTCCTTAATTTCTCCTTCTGCTGCTTCATTATTGGTGTAGAGAAATGCAACAGATTTTTGTATGTTGATTTTGTATCCTGGGACTTTACTGAATTCATGTATCAGTTGTAGCAATTTTTTGGTAGAGTTTCTTGGGTTTTCTATACAGAGTATGATGTCACCTGCAAATAGTGAAAGTTTTACTTCTTCCTTGTCAGTTTGGATGCCTTTTTATTTCTTTTTGTTGTCTGATTGCTGAGGCTAGGGCTTCCAGTACTGTGTTAAATAACAGTGGCGAGGGTGGACATCCCTGTCGTGTTCCTGACCATAAGAAAAAAGCTTTCAATTTTTCCCCATTAAGGATGATATTAGCTGTGGGTTTTTCAGATATGGCATTTATTATGTTGAGGTATGTTCCCTCTAAATCTACTTTGTTGAGTGCCTGAGTGGCTTAGTCAGTTAAGCGTCTGCCCTGGGCTCAAATCATGATCCCAGGGTCCTGCTCGGCACAGAGTCTGCTTCTTCCTCTATCCTTCCCCCCTGTTTGTGATCTCTCTCTTACTCTCTCTCAAATAAATGAATAAAATCATTTAAAATAAATAAATAAAATAAACCTACTTTGTTGACTATTTTTGTCATGAGTGAATGTTATACTTTGTCAAATGCTTTTTCTGCATCTATTGAAATGATATGGTTCTTATCCTTTCTTTTATCAATGTGATGTATCATGTTGATTGATTTGCAAATATTGAACCACCCTTGCAACCCAGGAATAAATCCCACCTAATCATGGTGAATGATTTTTTTTTTTTTAAAGATTTTATTTATTTATTCATGAGAGACAGAGAGAGAGAGAGAGAGAGAGAGGGGCAGAGGGAGAAGCAGGCTCCCAAGGAGCAGGGAGCCCGATGCGGGACTCGATCCCAGGACCCTGGGATCATGACCTGAGCCGAAGGCAGACGCTTAACCATCTGAGCCACCCAGGCGCCCTCTGGTGAATGATTTTTTTAATGTATTGTTGGATTTTGTTTGCCAGTAGTTTATTGAGAATGTTTGCATCCATGTCCATCGGGGATATTGACCTACTGTATTTCTCTTTTTTAGTGAAGTCTTTTATCTTTGCAATGACATGGATGGAGCTAGAGAGTATTACGCTAAGCAAAATAAGTCAGAAAGACAAATACCAGGTGATTTCACTCACTTGAAATTTAAGAAACAAAACAAGCAAGCAAAGGGAAGGTAAAAAGAGAGAGGGAGGCAAACAAAGATACAGATTCTTAACTATAGAGAACAAACTGCTGGTTACCATTGGGGAGGTGGGTAGGGGGATGAGCTAAATAGGTGATGAGCACCGGGTGTTGTATAGAAGTGTTGAATCACTATACTGTATACTTGACACTAATATTACACTGTTTTTAATTAAATTAAATATTTATTTTTTTATAAATTAAATAAAAACAATTTTAAAAATATAGTGATGGTAAGTCATGAAGAGGATGTTAGAAAGATTAAAAAATATCATAATGTCTAGCAAATAGTATGCATTTGATTATAATAAAAATAACAAATAATACATATTAACCGTTAAGGAAATAATTTAAATAATGATGTGGAGAAAAAGCATGTTGTAGGCCTCCTTTTATTTTTTTAAAGAGCTTTATTGATACATAGTTTATCATACAATTCTCCCATTTAAAGTCTATGGTTTGGTGATTATATATTCGCAGATATGTGCAACCATCACGAGTCAATTTTAGAATATTTTCATCACATCCAAAAAAAAAAAACCTGTACTGGACATTTCATGTGAATGAAATCATAATATGTGGTTATTTGTGATGCTTCTTAGCATAATGTTTTCAAGGTGCAGGCCTCCTTTTTCATCTTATTGGAAAGAAAATTTGTTTGAAGTTTCTCCATGTGGATTTGATTTTTTTCTTTTCACTTTAAAGGATAGATGTTATTTTACTTGATGTTTAGATCTTGTTATTACTGATAAGATATGGGTTAAATGTGGAAAACAGTAATTGTAGGTAGAAAAACTTTTTTGTGAAACTATAAATATGGAAGTGATTATTATTTCAGGGATTCCTTAGCAATACGTGTCTTGTATACACTGTTTTAAAACTGTAGTGATATTAATGTATGACTATAAAAAGAATCTAGTATTTGTCAAAAAGCATATATATTTTTAAACTTTTTTTTTTAAAGATTTTATTTATTTATTTGACAGAGAGATACACAGCGAGAGAGAGAGCACAAGCAGGGGGAGTGGGAGAGGGGGAAGCAAGCTTCCCTCCGAGCAGGGAGCCCGATGCGGGGCTCGTTCCCAGGACCCTGGGATCATGACCTGAGCTGAAGGCAGACGCTTAATGACTGAGCCACCCAGGCACCCCTATTTTTAAACTTTGTTAAGGCAAAAGTAATACTCCTTTTGAAAAGAATCTATTTATGTTTAAAATCCCACACACTTATCTATTGTAGTATAGAAGGTACATTAAATCCTAAGGACTCAGTAGATAAAGACTGATATATGTATTCTAGTTTAAAGAAAAAAAACACTGAATATATTTTTATTTTTTTTTCTTCCCACCACCTACCCGCACTACAGGATGGAATCATTATACATTCTATGTTTTCATAATTCATTATTATATCTCTTTTTAGATCACATTTAATTTGTTTTCCAAGTTGATTAAAGTATAATAAACTGCGTATATGTAAAATGTACAATCTGATCAGTTTCAACAGAGATGTATAGACCCTGGAACCATCACCAGAATGAATATATACATTATTCTAAACGTTTCCTTGAGAACATGTTTAAATCTGACTTATATTTTGGTTACTTGCTTATGTACTTATGTCCTGTATTGAATTATTATCTTGTGAGCTGGGACCATGTCTTCCTTTTTTTGTAATTTCTCTTAATAAATCATGTTCATAAATAGGCAGAGAGAAAAGATTTGTTGAATTATTAATGGAAGCTTTCTTTTGAAAAAAATAGCATATAATCATTTAATGTTAATGAAAGAATTTCAATACTTTTTGCTGTAATAGGTCTACTTTTGTTTGACCTAGAGCTTTTTGTAGGTTTTAAAAAAATATTTCAGAATATATTTTTGTTGTTATATAATTATTTCCCTTTCTGTGTGGCAGTTAGGTATATGCTAAGAAATTTGCTTATTCAGCATGCAGTTCTTAAATCATACCATGTGTAATCTTTTATGAGTGACTGTTTATAATTTTATGACATTTAAAGATATTCTAACTTTATTTTCACTGTTTTTTCTTAGCTCATCCCTTCTTTTAAATGGGAAACAAATCCATGTGGCTTATTGGAAAGAATCTGACAAGTTGTTGTTAATTGGCCTGCCTGCTGAAGAGTAAGTTGAGATCTTTTTTTAACCTTAAAATCATTTCTAAAATACTGCTAACAAAGTCTGTTTCATTAAAATTATGATATTTTTGTCAAAAGCAAACTCCTTCAAACAGTTTTACAGTTTAAAAAGATCTGTTACACCAGTGCAATAGCTACCATGTTAATTTGGTATTAAAAAATACAGAAAAGGGGCACCTGAGTGGCTCAGTTGGTTAAGCATCCAACTCTTCATTTCGGCTCAGGTCATGATGTCAGGGTTCTGGGGTCGGGCTATGCGCTGAGCATGGAGCCTGCTTGAGATTCTCTCTCTCCCTCTGCCCTTCTCCCCACTCGCTCTTTCTCTCTCTAATTAATTAATTAATTGATTGATTAAAAAAAAAAAAACAGAAAAGTGCTGGGAACAATTAGTAAGGGCAGGGCTTTCAGTACACTTCCTTCTGAGATGTGGCCAGTACAGAGATGTCTGAGAGAATGACCTTCTCTGCTCGAACTTTTGACAAGTTCGTGGTTTGGATTTTATGTGTTCATGGTTTTTTACTGTTGGAGATTTTGGAGAATTATAGGTCAAGCAGAAAGGTGTTTGGCCCTGATGTTGAGCACCTTTGACAAAAATACAGTTGACCCTTGAACAACATGGGCTTGAATTGTGTTGATCCACTTATATGTGGGGATTTTTTCAATAAATATATTGGAAAATTCTTTGGAGATTTGTGACAGTTTGAAAAAACTTGCAGATGAACTGCATAGCCTAGAAATATTGAAAAAATTGAGAAAAAGTTAGGTATATCATGAATGCATAAAATATATGTAGATATTGGTCTGTTTTATCATTACTACCATAAAATATATACAAGGCTATTATTAAAAGTTAAAATTTATCAAAACTCATAAAAATTTATCAAACACTTGGATGGAGCAATTCACAGTTGAGAGAGATGTGAACAAATGTAAAGATGCAGTATTAATTCATAACTGCATAAAATTAACTATAGTGCATACTGTACTACTGTAATAATTTCACTGCCACCTCCTATTGCTTTTGCAGTGAGCTTGTGTTATGATTACCTGCTTAAAACTTGCTGTGACACTGATCATGTCTGTATGAGCAGTTTGTCTTTCCAGTAAATTGTATATTGCAGTAAAAAGTGATTTCTCATAGTTCTTGTATATTTTTCATTGTGTTTAGTGCAGTACATAAACCTGAATAACACCAGGAGACCCATATGAAGTGCCACTGGTAATGCTGGAAGTGCTCCCAAGAAGCAGAGAAAAGTTTATGACATTATAAGAAAAAGTTGAATTGCTTGATATGTACTATAGACTGAGGTCCGCAGGGTTGCTGTGTGGTCTCAGTCAGTTAAGCATCTGCCTTCGGCTCAGGTCATGATCCCAGGGTCCTGGATCGAGTCCCGCATTGGACTCCCTGCTCGGCGCGAACCTGCTTCTCCCTCTCCCTCTGCCGGCAGCTTCCCCTGCTTGTGCTTGCTCTCTCTCTCTGACAAATAAATAAAGCCTTAAAAAAAAGATTGAGGTCTGCAACTGCAGTTGCCTGCCATTTCAAGATAAATCCAGTGTATGGTCCATTGTAAAAAAGAAAAGAAAATGCATGAGGTTGTCACTGCAGTTACACCAGCAGGTGCAAAAGCACTGCACTTTTTGTGAAGTACCTTTTTATCGTGTATTGAAAATCCAGCTTTTAGGTGGGTATAGGATTGCTATAAGAAAGGCATACCTATTGACTCTAATATGATTTAAGAAAAAGCAGTCATTGTATGACAACTTAAGGCAAAAAGAAGGTGGAGGATCTAAAGCGGGAGGGTTTAATGCTGACAAAGGATGGCTTGACAATTTTATAAGGAGGTTTAACTTTAAAAATGTCAAGATAACAGGAGAAGCAGATTCTGCTAAGAGACTGCAGATGAGTTCCCAGGTGCCATTAAGAAAATCAGTGAGGAGAAAGGATATCTGCCTCAAGGTTTTTAATACAGACAAAAGTGCCCTATTCTGGGGGAAAAAATGTTGCTTAGGACATTAGTAAAGAAGAAAAGTGAGCACCAGGATTTAAGGCAGGAAGGAATAGGCTAACTCTACTGTTTTGTGCCAATGCATTTGGGTTTATGATCAGGACTGCCCTTATCTATAAAGCTCGTAAACCCCAGACCTTGAAGGCAAAAGATAAATACCAGCTGCCAGTCTTTTGGTTGTACAACAAGAAGGCGTGGACATTGAAAACCCTTTCTCTGGATTGGTTCCATTGATGCCTTGTCCCTAAAGTCAGAAAGTACTTTGCCTTTGAAAATTCTTTTGATACTGGACAGTGCCCCTGGACCCCGAAAACCCCATGAGTTCAACACTGAAGATGTCAGTCTACTTGCCCCCAAACACAGCATCTCTGATTCAGCCTCTAAGGTTCATTACACATGGTGCTCGGTGGAAAGGATTGTCAGAATTGAAAGAATAGAAGAAAACCCCGATAGAACATCATGAAAGTCTGGAAGGATTACACCACTGAAGATGCCATTGTTATAGAAAAGGCCATGCAAGCCATCAAGCCTGAAACAATAAATTCCTGCTGGAGAAAATGGTGTCCAGATGTTGTGCATGACTTCACAGGATTTATGAGAGCCAATCAAGGAAATCGGGAAAAAGCCAATTAAGGAAATCATGCCAAATCATGGATATGGCAAAAAGGGGGCAGGGCAGGGTAGGTGAAGGGTTGAAGATAGAGATCTTGGAGAAATTCAAGAGCTAATAGATACCACATCAAAGGGATGAACAGAAGATGACTTGATGAAAATGAGTACTTCTGAACCAGTGCTAAATGATGAAGAAGAAGACTTAGAAGAAGCAGCGCCAGAAAACAAATTGATACTAGATAATCTGGCAAAAGGGTTCTGATTATTCGGAACTGCTTTGGACTTCTTTTACGACATGGACCTTCTATGATATGGGCACTGATAATAAAGCAAATGGTGGAAGAAGGTTTGATACTATATAGGAATGTTTTTAGAGAAATGAAAAAGCAGAGAAATTACCATATATTTCTGTAAAGTTACACCGAGTGTGCCTGCCTCTCTTGCTTCCCCTTCCTCCTCCACATCTGCTGCCTCTGCCACCCCTGAGACAGCAAGACCAACCCCTGCTCCTCCTCCTCAGCCTACTCAACATGAAGATGATGGGGATGAAGATCTTTATGATGACCCACTTCCACTTAATGTATAGTAAATAATCACCATGCCTATAGCTAATAAACTTACCTGTTGTGTATGTGTGTGTCTTCATGTGAAAATCTGATAATTGTACAGCAAGAATTGTGTCACCATCATCATCGTCTACATATTGATCGTGTAGAACACCGTGTGCAAGACTCATGTGGAAGGGAACAGTCTATCCTTACATAGGCATAAGGGGATTGATATTTAATATAAAACTAATAACGTGTTAGTTTTCTGTTTTATAATTTTGCTTTCAAAAAATTATATTACCATACAGTATGCCTCTCCTTCTTGTAATGGGGGAAAACTGCATATCAGTCTATTATCACAGGTAAGTGATTTTAAAAAAAATGTAACAGTGTTTCCAGTACTGTGTTATGAATATAATATGGTATTTCCTAAAAATGTTTTAATGATTCATTCTCTAGTGTATGGGCTAGGCTACCATGAAGCCATACTGTCAATTACACTAGGGTACCGTAAAGCAATCATATTGCTGCTGCTTCGTTATCAATGGATCTGTAAATAAATATGAATTTCTTTTTAACATTATCTTTTCATTTTGAATTTTTAGTGTTAGTAACACGTGTAACATCTGTAGTGTTTTGTATTCTATAAGACAGTATTGACATAAGTACTAACAAATAGATGACTCATAAACAGATGATACAAACTTATGGTATCGATTTCTCTTCTTATGGTTTTCTTAATAACATTTTAATAACATTTTCTTTCCTCTAGCTTACTGTATTGTTAGAATACAGTTTATAATACATATGACATACAAAATATGTTTTAATCAACTGTTTATGTTATCACTAAGGCTTTCAGTCAACAGTAGGCTATTAGTATTTAAGTTTTTGGGGGCTAAAAAGTTATACTTGGATTTTCAACTGCCTGGAGTATTGGGACCCCTAGCCCCTGCATTGTTCAAGAGTCGACTGTAACGAATATTTAACTTTAAAGTGACTTCTCTAATGGTATATCTTATATTACCATTTTCTCCTTCTTAACTTTTTGTAAGTATTTTGAAATATATCTTATTTTTATAGTTGGAGGTAAGAGCTGGGTTGACATTTATAATGAGCAGACCGTGAACCCAGGGACTGTGTTAGGTACTTTACATTCATTAATCTCATTTAATCTTCAAAATCATCTCCAGATGTACTTTGTGATCCCTGGCCCCATTTTATAAATGAGGAAAGTAAAACCAAGAGAAGATTAAATAACTGGCCAAAGGTCACATAACTACTGGCAAGAAGCAGAATTACAAATTGAAGGAGAGTCTTTCTGAATTCTTTCTACTACATTGCTTCCCTAATGTCATTAGACATAAAAGCTGTTGGGAAATGGGATAGGAATGTGGAGAACAGCCCCAAGGAGAGGGATTTAACTAATGTTAGAGTCTTGTGTCCCTCTTCAATGATTTTTTAAAACTTGTAATTTAGACTCTTCCTGCTTTAAAAAAATTGGGCAACTTCTATTAAACTATACACACATTTTAGTTTTAACTTTTTGGTCCATAGAACCATATATTATCTACCAAATAGTAATCAAATATCAAAATAAATACTATGGTATGTGAATGACACAACTTTAGGGAATGCCAGTTTAGATAACTTTTCTTTTTTTTTTTT